TGATGTATTCAAAAATGGAAAAGTCTATATGTACATAATAGTTTCCATAATGTGACGGGGACCAAATTATGTTGTTGATGTGAAAGTTTTAAATTTGAATTAATGGTTGGATCCAGTGTCACGTGTAATTAGGGACACCATTATGTATAGATTTATGTACATGTAGCACTTCTCTTCAAAAATACGCATCAAGGGTAAAAGCATCCAAGGCAAATGGGCTATATATAAAAATAACAAAAAGGTAAAGGGGAAATAAAAAAAAAAAGTGGTGTGTTGTTATGTACTACTTTTTATGGAATACTTGTCATTAGGGAAAACCCTTTTTTCCCCCTCACTCAATCCTTTGAATTTATGCTTGGGCCCATAATATATCTCATTTTTATAAGTTTACTTGTAATTTCTTCTTTGGCTTTAAAACAAGACATTCTTTTCTTCCAATGCTTATGATATTAGCAGAACAAGAAAAAGTAAGCACTTTTATCCTCTAGAGATTATCTACTTTGCCCATCTGGTTGAGACACCGATGCCCATTTAACAAGCGATTAAGATTCCAAAGAGACAATATATATATAGCTCTATTCCAATGCCCAATATCATAGCAATTTCATCTTCCCTTTCAATTTGTGAAACTTCTGATTAATTTTCTACTCTCTCTGAAGCTTCACTTGTTGCTCTTTGCTTTCTCTTTCTTGGTCAGTTCAAGAAATCATGCAATGAAAGGAACAGGAAACACAATCAATTATTGCAAAAAGAATTGAATCTCAGAATTTTTTCTATTCATCAAGCTTCTGGTAATGAAACTGATCAATTGCATTATTTTCTAATTTATTCATTATGGTCATAATTCTGAAATGGTTTCTTAAATTTTATCGACTAGATTTCTGTAAAATTTCTGCGCTGGCAGCTGTTTTCTCAACAAGTCCGCAGCTGATAATCAACACGCAGAGCAGAGGTATGTATGTCTCTCTGTTATTCACATTTATTTCAGTTTTTTATTTTGGTTAATCTTTTTCTTAGTGTTGTATATATTTACCATGAATTCTAGATCAAGAATACGTTAATCCAAGTGGAATTTAATTCTGGATAACTCTATGATCTGCATCGTGATGCAATGAAGCATGGAGAAGTTGAATCAGAATTTGAGTATCAAGAACTGGACAAAATATAGAATAAAACCTCTCAATATTTTATTTCATAAGAATTATCAATAGAAAAAACTCATCCCTGTTACTGTGATATTGAAGGGAATATATGAAATATTACCTAACCTTATTTTTTTTCCCACTTTTTTCATAAAAATGAAATAAATTTGTAATTAAATTATTTTCTAATGGTTGATTGTTAATTAATAAATTTCAACAAATTAAGAGCTTGTTTGGGAGGGATTTTAATCCAATAAAAATTGAAAATATAGCCGTTATTGGGTCCCACTGATCTAATAAAAGTCAATAATAACGGCTAGTTTTTCAATTTTAATCCGATTAAAATCCCTACCAGACAAGCTCACAGATTAATCTTTTATAACTGTATTTTATATTTTTCCCCGGTGTGGGTTTTTCCTTTTTCGTTGTTGCATGGGTCCCTTGTGGAATTTCATTTTTCTTTTTATGTATGGGTGACTTTTATTCGTAAAATTGTTTTGATACGACTTCAATTGTTTCACATTCTCTGAGTCCATAAGTGCGATATTTTGATGATTATATACATTTTTTAATGTAATTTTATAAAAATCTTTAAAAATGAAAGACTACGAAAGTACATAAAAGTTATTTTTTGTGAAAGTCTTTAAAAATTTAGTTTTATAGGAGTTTTTGAAAGTCTTTCTTTCATAATTCTATAGAATTTATAATAGCCCGTCACTTGAAAGTTTGAATTGGATACATCCAACCTAATTCCAATCTTTTATAAATTTCGAATATAACCCTTAACTTCTTAGAATAATACAGAATTGTCCCAATCGGGCGACTTCTCATGTAAAAAGCTTGCTACATTCTTTCTGAGATGAGAAAAATTTCACTCGACTCATGTAGCATATTTTCATCCAGTTTAGTTCTATTAAGTCATCCGTCTCTACAAACAAACTTCGATTTAGTACCAATCATGGTTAAGTCCAAATTAAGACAAGAACCTTTGTTCATTTGATCCCTTTTGTGACCCAATTGAAAGACCAAAGATACTATATACATCATCAGTTCTTTTAGACACAAACTCAAAAACAAGTCAGAGGTATAGAATTTCAAATAAAAGCAATTACTAGAAAGGCTTATTACTGTCTACTACAATAAAATCTTTTAATCCAAATTCACATTTTTCGTCATTCACACTCACTAAATCAACATCGTTCATCTCGAACACCAACCAAGATCCACATATTGTCCGTCCTAGCACGTTCTCCTTCCGTGTTAGTGGTTCCAAACCAACCTTATCAAACTCATCTCTCCCCCTTCTCTTTATGCAATATATTTATTTCATATTTCTTTTATGTGAAATTTATCCATAACATGCCAAGCAAGATAGCGGATCATTTGAGAATATTAATCTTAAAATCAATGTGCCCGTTTAAGTCATAATCAGATTGAATTGGTCGTTTCAACTAAATGAACTCAGATACTATTTTAAGATTTAAAATCCCGTCTTAAATGATCAATATTAATTTTTTTTAATTATATATTTAAGCTAAAAATATTTATGTTTGTAATCTCAGAGTTTTCTCAATAATAATAATAATAATAAATTACGCATGTACTCTTTAAAAAACATTAACTTGTAAAATAGCATGAAGCTAATAATCCAACTTAAAACAAATAAAAAATGGATCGAACACCTTCTTTTTAGACGGTCCCTTTTTATCAAGTATTTGCCCTAAAATTTGATCAACCTTGTCCCTTTTTAGACGGTCTAGACTTGTTCCTTAGATCTTTGAAGTTTAACTATACTCCACAATATTTGTTTTAACCACAAATGGATCGAACACCTTCTTTTCAGAACATTAGTCGTCTTCTTCAAGTCAAAGTCTAATAATTAGCTCTTCAATATTCATTTCCTTTCACTCCTACTTAAATAATTCTTGAAATCAGATAGTCTAATAATCAGTTCATATAGAATTATCTGTCAAATTAATGATAACAATTATCCGCTCTCTTCGCTTATGAACTGTTCATTTCCAACAGTTTTCTCTCAGTTAACATATCATCCACTCAAACATTAAGAAGAAAATATATATGAATTTTGACATAGGAGCCTCGCTGTGCTCATGTTCGATTTCAGACTCTTAATTCAATAGGTTCCACTGACATTGTCTGTCTTGCAGCTGATAGATTTCCAGTTCTTCTTGTAATATCTCCTTGGGGAGCTTGAATGTACTAACTCAACTCATGGTGGAGTCCGTTATCGGTCCCTGTGTTGAGAAGCTCGCAGATTACACTATTGCTGCAATTTCCCGCCAATTTAAGTACCTGTTTCGCTACGATAGGAACATTCAAAATTTGAGGGCTAAAGTGCAAGATCTTGAAAATAAGAGAGACGATGTGCAATCATCAGTGCGTGGAGCAAAAAGGAATGCGTTAGCCATTAAATCAGAGGTGGTTGCATGGCTGAAAAAGGTTGATGATTTAAAGAACGAGGCTGATGAAGTTTTGAACAGCACAAATTCTGAAATGCGATGCCTATACCAAAGGAGGTGTCCAAATTTGAAGACCCGTTACTTGCTGAGCAGGAATGCCATAAAGAAGACTACTGCAATTGTTGAGCTCCAAGAAGAAGGTAAATTTGATGAGGTGGGCGTGCGTACACCACTAAAGTTGCTATCTTTCCATGGGTCCAAGGCTTTGAAGACAAGGATATCAACTAAGAAGGTAATCATAAAAGCTCTAGAGGACACAGATACCAGCATTGTTGGGATATGTGGCCTGCCTGGGGTAGGTAAGACGACAATGGCAAAGGAAGTAATGACTCAAGTCAAAGATATTGGATTATTTGATGAGGTTGCCATGGTAGTTGTTTCTAAGGATGCAGAAATAATAAGTGTTCAGGATAAACTTGCTGATATGCTCGGTTTGACATTTGATGAAAAGACCAATGAATATGCGAGAGCTTCACGACTTAATGAAAGACTTACTCAGGATAATAAAGAGAGAATTCTTGTAATATTAGACGACCTATGGACAGATATTGATTTGAAAACATTAGGAATTCCTCCATTAAGTCATCGCGAGGGGTTGAAAATTCTATTGACATCACGTGATAAACATGTCTGCGAAAAGATGGGAGCTCTGAGTAACATTGAAGTTGAAGTTTTGCCTAGAGAAGAAGCTTTTGTACTTTTTCAAGATGTGGCAGAGATTTTTAATGATGCTACTGGACTGAAGGACATAGCAGAACAAGTTGCAGAGGAGTGTAAAGGTTTACCTCTTGCAATTGAGATTGTTGGCAAAACACTAAGAAACAGAGAACGGCATGAATGGAGGGATGTACTTAACCGACTGCAGCATTCTCAACACAGTGATAGGGTATACTCAAGCATACAGTTGAGCTACAACTATTTGGAAAGTGATGAACATAGGTCCTTTCTTTTGCTATGCTCTCTTTTCCCTGAAGACCAGAGTATTCGAATTGAAAGTTTGGTTAGATATGCAAGGGGGCTAGAACTGTTTCAATATAGTGAGACATTATTGGATACCAGAAATCGGGCATATACAATCTCTGATACTCTAAAAAGTTGTCATTTGTTGCTATCAGGTGATCGGGAGGAGGAGGTTAAATTGCATGATGTTATCAGAGATTTTTGCTTATGGGTTGCATCTAAAGGTGAACATAGATATATGGTGAAACGTGATTTAATGACAGAGTGGCCGGAACATGATGCCCATGAATCCTACAGTGCCATCTCACTATCATTTCATAAGGCGATTAGGCTACCCAGTAGGTTACAGTATGGGAACCTCACGTTGTTACGGTTACTAGAAACGGGTTCGTTTGCAAGTGAAATGGAAATACCCAAAGAATTTTTTGATGATATGCTAGAACTTAGAGTTATTTATTTCTATGGAGTTCAAATCCGATCACCAATCCAACTGTCAATGGGTCTTCGAACCCTGTGCTTGAACTACTGTACTTTAGAGATTGAAATATCATTCTTTAGAAGTCTAAAAAAGTTGGAAATTCTCACATTTTTTCGATCTACTCTCTCTATTGATTTTCACCGTAATGAAATGGTAGAACTTAGCAACCTAAGGTTACTGGATTTGAGGTTTAAGAAAGGTCCCTGTCCACTTCCCCCTGATTTTTTGTTCGGTATGAAGAAACTAGAAGAGTTGTATTTAGGATATTACAATGACACAAGTTATGAAGAAAAAGAGCACATTATCAAAGAGTTAAGATCATTGAAGGCTCTTAACACTCTTCAGATTATCACAGATGACACTCAGTTTCTGATGCAACTATTACAAGCGTGCTCTGAGAAGCTGGAAAGATTTGCAGTCAAACGAAAAAAAAGCGGTCCTAAATATCGATCTGTTTATTTATCGGGATCGTTTGGCGATATATGGAGAGACTGGATGCCACCTGTCACTGAGTTAGATGAAGATTATTTCATTAACTTGAATTGGCTGGAGCTAGATTACTTGGATTCTGAGTATCTTATTGATGCTGCAGGCTCCGTTCCAAGAGGCATCTTCCGCAATTTGGAGCTTCTGGAATTGAGCAATATGAGTAGGCTGAAAGAGATTTGCAATGCAAATTTTCCAAGAATGGAACATTTGACGAGGGGTGTCTCCCAACCTGCACTGTTCTACAACCTCAAAGATATTCGAGTATCTGGTTGTGCTAAAATTAAAAGAATGTTTTCTGAGTCAGTCGCAAAATGCATGGTAAATCTCCAAAATCTAAGTTTGTCGTTTTGTATGTCATTAGAAGAAGTTGTTTCAATGGACACGCAAGAAAATGAAATTACCGAACCGCCTTCGTTCCCAAAGCTGAAAAGAGTCGTACTTTATCAATTGATGAGATTTGTAAGATTCGGATCTCAACCAAATGCAGTTGGTCTTCGTCAAATATTGCTCAACCAGGTAATGTATATATCATTCCTTTTGTGTGCTTGCATCAATTCTGGAGAATAAGGGAAGTTAGGAAAACTGATGTTAACTTATAATTCCATACTTGGATAGATAATTTGGTCTGTAGTAAAATGAATTAGCGTTAGTTTTTGTATGATGGCTTAACTTTTCTTAATCCACGGGTGCACCTGTTCATCATCTCGACTCATCGAATCCTGGTAATTAATGACCTTTAGATGAAGTTCTCCGATGAGAACTTTGGCTGACACTATTGACTGAATTTTACAGGTTGAACTGCCCGACATGGAGAAGTTGACTATTCGCAACTTGCTGAGCATAGAAAAGATACTAAGCATGGAGGAAACGCCATTCGGATCTCTAAATAGATTAAGGGTCATGGATGTGGGTTATTGTCGTAAACTAGTGAACATTGCACAATCCAATTCGATTAAACTATTGAAAAATCTTGAAACTCTTAAAGTACTGGGTTGTAGCGCTCTAAATGTAATATTTGACTTTGAGGGTCTAAATGTTAATAAAGACGATGAAAAAGAAATTTGTATACTTGGTCAACTAAAATCTCTGGAACTGATGAGAGGAGATTGCTTGGTGCATATTATGAGGATGGTTCCTAAAGGAATTCGTGTCTTCCAGAATCTGAAACGGCTTGAAGTTGCAACCTGTGGCAGGTTGAAGTACTTATTCTCGGCTTCTATGATTAGCTCATTTGTGGCTTTAGAAACTCTATTCGTCCATTTTTGTGAAGAAATGGAAGAAATCTTTGGAAGAGACGAAGAAGTGGTTAAAGAAGAAGGAATGGCTAGCAAAATTGTGTTCCCCGAATTGAGGAGAATAGAACTAATCGGTCTTCCAAGATTCAAAATATTTTGCTCTCATAACTATGAACTTGTGTTCCCTTCACTTGATCTATTGAAAATTCAAGATTGCCCTGTGATGACAAGATTTTGTTCTGGACAGCTAAATGCGCCAAAGCTTAAGGGAGTACAGATAGAAAAAGACGAAGTTATTGACATTTCTAATTTCCCTAGATTGTGATGCAGCTATATGTGGGTTTTCTTCCATTTTACATAATTTACTCTTAACATATATGCTATAATTACATTGACTGATAAATTAATATGCTCTAATTTTCAGGTTCCGTCCACAATCCACCTTCAAGTAGCGATTGTGAATAAAAGACAGAGAGTATGATTATGGAGAATGAAGTGTAAAGTCTAGTCGATTTTTTACACATTTAGCTCGAGGTCATGTCTCCTCCTAAATATGTACTATTTTTATTTTCGTTTCCAATAAATCATGTCACAATTTAGTGGTTAAATTGTTAAGCGTTTGAAATGACCCAAATCTATAATTCTTCGTAAATCGAGTTATTTCACAAAAATTCTATATAATTCTTGGCATAATATTTAGTTTTGGCTTTCTGCTAAAAAAATGTAGATGTATAAAGGTCGTTAATGAGAAATTGAGATCTTCATTTTTGGAATGAGTTCAAGCACAAGAAAGTAATCAGCTATTTAAGTAGAAGAGATACTTAAAATTCTGCTAACCTTGAGTGTTAAAAGTGCACATTTGGCTAAGTGTAAAAAGAAAGTGAACTTACTTCTTTAAAAAGTAAGTAATTACACGAACATTTTGTACTAAAATTCTTAAAAGAACAATTTTTGAAGAAAAGCTAAACATGTGTGAAAAAAGGTTACTTTACCTCTTTTAAAACGGAACCAAATATTAGTAAATACATTCCAGAGAAGAATATGTAGTTGTCATTTACACTTTTTTGTATCTCGATAACAAATTATAATCATTTACGAGTTTATAATGAGAGAGATGCACCTAACTCTTAAATCATAAGTAGTGCCTTCGCATCCACTACTTTTTTGTTCCTAAGATGCCGATTAATTCTTCACCCACTTTGTATTAATTGTTTCCCTCTTGTTTATATATTTAAATAGTAAAACGTTACCAACCCAAAATCCTAACGGACAACCACCAAACCAAGCTAATCATCTTTGACCTTTCTCAGGCTTTCAGCTAAAAAAATAAAAAATTATAAAATCACCCTAAAAGATAAGAAGGAAATAAAGTGGTCATTACTTTGAGTGTCATTTTTAATGACAAAGCTGATTCGTTGATGGTATCATTAATGTTAGGATGTGACTCAAATTCTATATGATTTGAAAGTTTGATTCATGGAGGAAACCTAGATAATATTTGTTTGAAAGTTCGATTTGATAAGGGATTAAATTTTATCTTGGATTGAAAGTTTGATTGATAATTTTTTTTGGAATGGATGAAAAAAGTGTTTTCGAAGCATTTGGACGGAGATGGAGCCAGCATGGTTGCAAGAGGTCAGGGATTGGGCGTCGTGGTGCTAGCCCCAGGACGCTGCAACGCCCATCAAGAGGCAAGGTCGGCACCTCGGCGCTGGGTGAGTGGCACTGCGGTAGTGTAACTAGACGGGAGAGAAGGACTCTTTGTTGATTTCTACCGCGTTTTTTATGCTTTACTTTAGCCATAATTCTAAGATTTGGTTCTTATATATACTTCACGTGGTGTAGGCTCTTAAAAAATATCATTGCTGTATATATTAAAAATTGGGTTATTGGCGCAAAACGTCCCTACCTATGACAGTCCTTGTGGAAAACGTCACTACGTTTAATTTCTTCGTGCAGAACGTCCCTACCTTTGCATTTTCTTACGCAAAACGTCCTTCCGTCCAAC